TACAATTAATTGTGTAAGACTTCCCATAAGAATTAGTTTAGATCGTCCTTCCCAGCTTCTTTGGAGGGCTTTATGTGCTTTTAAGACGGGAGAAGTATTCCATGGCTCAGTGTAAATCTGCTAACTAAAGAGCTTTTCACCTGGTTTATATTGTTAAATGTAAACCAATTAGTGTACTTTATGCTTTACAGAATAAGAAAGATGTTTGCTTATCTTATCAAGCTTTTGAAATACTATCTATTCTATAGTAATAACTGGAGCAACTTGTACCAGACTTTTTTGTGCAGAAAATTTTGGATTAAAGAATAGAAGTCCTGGATTGGAATCCTGGTTCTTCCCCTTATGAACCCTGTGAATTCGAGCGAACTCCTTAGCCACTCTGGGTCACAACTTTTTTTGTTTGTTGCGGGTAATATCTGCCCTGTTGTGGAGGCCCCATTGACTCAGCCACATTCATCTCTGACACTGAACAGCTCCAGGCTGCTGAGTCCTGGGAATTCTGTCTTGTAAATGTCTTTAACCTCCACCTCTCTGTTCTTGACTACTTCTCTGCCTCGGGTCAGGCCCTTGCCACTGTTGCCTAAGTCGTTGCAGTGACCTCCTACCTGGTCTCTACCCTTGGTCTTGTTTCTTCTCCAAGGCATCCTCCCTATTCCTGCCTGACTCTTTCTCAAATGGGAATTGAGTCATTTTTCTTCCCCTATAACTTGCAGGATAAAGTTCATTTTCTTCTAATAACAATAGTTAACATTTACGGAGTGTTTACTGCATGCCCAGTGTGATGCTAATCACTTTATGTGGATCCTCTCAATGAGCCTCACGACAGGTTTATGAGATGCAGTTGCAATTAGTGTCCCTGTTTTACAAATGAGGGATCTGAGACTCAGAGAGATTAAGTCCAAGGTCACATAGCTAATAAGTGACAGAGGCAAGACACTGATCCAGGCATTCTAATTCCAGAGCACACACTCTTAACCCCTTCCCTGCTTAATTGCCTTCCTATGTGGCCCATGGACCCTTCATGAGCTGCCTCTGCTCTCTCTCCAGTTCACACTTCATTCTTGCAGGCACCCTACCCAAGAGACACAGCCATACTGAACCCCATATCCTAAGTGCTATACACCATGGGTATGGTGCCTTAATCTTAGGAGGGTCTCAAAAGTATTTGTTTATTAAGTAAATGAATCAAAGTATTTACAAAGAATTTTGTTAACTATAATGTTCCATACCAATGTCAAGATTTCATATTATGATGAAGTTTAGATTAAACTGAAATTCTTCAGCTGACTAACAGAGTTTCTCAACCTTGACATTATCAATGTTTTGGGACAGATAATTCTTTGTCATAGGGAGCTGTCCTATACATTGTAGGATGTTTACCAGCATCCCAAGCTGAGAGATGCCCATTAGAGAGATGCCAGTAGCCTAACCCAAGTTGTGCAGCCAAAGATGTCTCTAGACATTGTGAAATATCCCCTGAGGAGCAAAATCAGTTGAGGACCTCTGGCCCGACTCTATTTGCTCATTTTTCCTGAACTTCTGGATGAGTTATTTAGCTTCTCCAGTACTCAGGTTTCTCATTCTTAAAAATATGACTTGACAATAATTTATTATGTAGTCAGTAATATATTTAAAATATTTATATACAACTCTTCAGTAAGTCTAAAATTAAAAGTTTTTTTAAAGTATTCATTTAAGTCATTTATTAAGCACAAAATATGGGAGACCCATTTTCAGACATAAGTAGAAGCAGAGACNAGTCATTTATTAAGCACAAAATATGGGAGACCCATTTTCAGACATAAGTAGAAGCAGAGACCTGTATATGTTCCTTCTTAGATCTAAAAGAAAAGTTAATGAAGTAAATGGTGTTACTGTCTTTCGTTCACTTCGCAGGCTGTCTATCCACATGGACGATGAACTGCGACATATTGCACAGAATTCTCTTCAGGGTTTACTTGTTGACTTCTCCGACTGGAGAGAAGATGTGCTATTTGGCTTCACTACCTTCCTGCTCCGGGAGGTGAATGACATGCACCACACCCTCCTGGACTCGTCCCTGAAGCTGCTGCTGCAGCTGCTCACCCAGTGGAAGCTGGTCACACAAACACAAGGGAAAGTCTATGAACAAGCCAACAAGATCAGAAATTCAGAGGTGATTTCCACATTTCCCACCAGTTTATATTCTTTTATGTATGACATATGTAAGTGAGTGGCATCCCAGGGCTCCCATGGGGTTCTTACTTCCAGCCACCTAGGAACTTCCTCTAGTGGTGGCCTTAGTTCTTCCACCAACATGAATTTGTGACCAAGAAACTCAGAGCATGATATACCACATCAGGTTAGATTTGTTAATGCTAGAAAGGTCATTGAGGGAGTAGAAATTGGTTTCTTTGGAGAATTATGATAATAAATCTATTTGTTTGGTTTTTTTAAATTATTTTATTTATTGAATCAAAATTGATTATACATATTTTGGGGGTTGAACATTGAGATATGTTGATCAAATCAATATTACTAGCATATATATTGTTACAAATCATAATTATTTTTTATGCCCCTTGTCCAACGTCTCCCCTTCCCCCATGCCCTCCCCCTCCCCCCTCTAATTGCCCTAGATTTCTTCTCTCCTTCGAAAGAATAATGGTTACTCTGTTAATTTGTTGCCTAGATGATCTGTGCAATGCTGAGAGTTGTGATCGGGTCCCCCAGTATTATCATAGAGCAGATGCTTCTTCTGTCACTCTGAAATGGGTTTTGTGGAAAGAGACGTCCTCTTCTTTGTCTCTGCTGGTGACTCTCCTTGGGTCAATGCACTCCAGTGGTTTGCGGAGCACCTGCATGGTGGTTGTGGCGTCTAGCCACTTTTGCAGCAGCCATGGTTATTGTGGTGGCTGTGGTGGGCCACCCACATGGAGGTGCTGTTTTTGGTATGCTCCTTGGCACTGGCAGTGTGCCTGGTTGTGGGGTGTGTTTGGTCCCCTTCTCTATGCCTCTGGTCCATGGGCAGGCCCCAAGGCGCTGGCGTGGTGTGTGCCTGTTTGTGGGAAAGAGGTCCAGTCCCCTTCTCCATGCCTCAGGTCCCTGGCAGGGCCTGAGGCACTGGCGTGGTGTGCCTGGTTGTGGGAGGGGGGTCCAGTCCACCTCTCCATGCTTCAGGTCCCCAGGCTGGCCCCAAGGCACTGGTGCAGTTTGCCTGGAAGTGGGAGTGGGGTCCGATCCCCACATCTAAGCCTCTGGTTCTCAGGCAGGCCCCAAGGTGCTGGTGGTGTGCCTGGCCTAGAACTAATTTTTTGTGCTTTGCTTCTAACACAGGGGCACTTCCTGTGGGAACCAGTACTTGAGCTGTGTGGCTGAGTCAAACTGCTGCTTTGCTGCTGTTTCTCTAGGGAAGGCTTTTTGTGTAGCTCAGGGTTTAATGGCTGATCTTATAGGTACTTCCGGCTCTCCAGAGACCCAGTGGATCTGTGTTCTGTAGAATCTCTGATCTGGGCCTGAGTTTTTTCATCAAACTGCACCCCATGCAATTCTGCATTCCTGAGCATTCTCCTCTGAGTGGTCCTGTGCTGATTGGGGGGTGGATCGGCTGTCCTTGCTGTGTCCCACTGTTCCCCTGGTGGGCAAGTCTCCCCCACCACCTGTGTTCCAAACACTTCACATGGGATGGGTCCTGCGCCAGTCCCTTGCGATGACTCACTGGCCTCTGAATCGCTCCCTTTTTGCAGCTGTACTGGCTCCTCGCTCCCGCATGGGTCCACGGGAACCCTATTAGTGGTCTTGCTGTCCTGGGGACTGCCATGGCCCTCTTCTCTCTCTTGCTGTCTCCTAGAAACTCCATCTGAAGGGCACAGCTGCAGCTTCTGCCGGCTCCTGCTCCATGTGCTCAGCAGCTCCAGCCTTAAAGCAGCTGCAGCCTGAAATGCTCAGAGCAGCTTTTTCTTTCTCTCATCGTGGTTTCTCCCACCTTCATGAACTCCGTAGGTCTCTCCTCCTCTTCCCTTGAGCTCCAGTGGCCCCAGCCTGGCTGATGTTACATTTTTATAGTTGAAAATTGATTGATTTGTGGGAGAGAGTGATGCTGCGGTCCGTCTATTCCACCATCTTGATTGGTTCCCCTAATAAATCTATTTAAAAGTAAGCAACTATAGGCCAGGGTGTTAGAGCTGGATGTGGATGTGGATATGAATATGGATGTAGATATGGATATGGATATAGATGTAAATTTGGATATGGATATAGATATAGATTTGGATATGGATATAGATATGTATGTGAATATGGTTATGGATGTGGATATGGTTATGTTTATGGATGTGGATGTCAATATGGGTTTGGATATATAAGTTAGCTGTCCACCAGTTGTTATTTTTCTCCTAGCCAGCAACATATTGGTTACTTTGTCAAATATCCACAGAGAAGAAAACACAGTCTTGTGGCTTCTTCACTTTTTCATGCCTCAGTCTTGAATTGCAAACATTCCTGACAGTACTTTGGAGAACCTATGGAGGAGAGATGTCATCAGAGGACAGCCGGGGGCAGTGGTGGCTTGCATCAGTGCCAAAAGCAGATACAGAGAGGGGTCCAGCTAGAGGGGAGCGTAACAGACGGCAGTGGAGGCTCAAGGCAGCATCAGTGCATATAGGGAATGGTGAGGATCCTAGATGAACTAACCTCAGAGATGACTTTCAGGTCCTTCCTCCTTCCTTGTGTTCTACATATGCCAAAAGGATTAAGTACACTTGTAAGAGGAAAACGGAAGTTAAGGTAGAATCTGCCCGGTTGTCTGGCTTGCTTTTGCTTTAGATTCACTTGGTTGTGGTTTGGGAACTTTTAGAACCATCACATAAGTGTGCAAAAACCTAACACACAAGCAAGTGAACAAGTCCAAACAGAAAGTAAATGTCTGAAAATACAGTCTAATCGTATCCCAATGTCTATAGAGAATTTAAGTGAAAACAAATTAGGCCACTTCAGATATGTATATAGTGTAATCCCAAATGGTATGGGTAGAAGCAGTTTTGTTTTTATTCATATTAATAGCCTTTGTAAAGTTATTTGTCATCAGAGGTCACAGTTGGTCGATGATATTCCAAAGCAACAATTGATCTGAAAAACAAAAAGCAATCTAGGATATTGGATGAATAGCGGTGAATTCATAAACATATCTGGTTCTAAGCCACTGTGATTTATTTTATATTACAAGGTCAAATCTACCAAAAGAAGGACAACATACTTGTGTAAGAGTGTTTTCTTATTCTTCCATTGCTACTTTATTGAATATAGAATGTTGTTCTTATTGCATAACAGCTAGTTCCAAATGGCTCCAGCCACAGAATTCAAACAGAACGAGGCCCTCACTGCAGCGTTCTCCACGCCGTGGAAGGGTTTGCTCTGGTTTTACTCTGCAGTTTCCAGGTGGCCACACGCAAACTGTCCGTTTTAATACTCAAGGAAATTCGAGCTTTATTTGTTGCCCTGGGTCAGCCTGAGGTATGGCTCATTCTTCTGAATTTTCCTATTTCTTTCTTTCAACTCTTTTCAAATTTAAATAAAAACTATAAATAATGCATTACTATTTCATGTACTTTTGGTCACACATGGTGTCAACACAATTTTTGATTCATTGTTGGGTTTTTAAAAATTATATTGATAGAATTCTTGATCTAATAGAGATAAATCATATATTCTGAGAGCAATAGAAAAGACCATTCCTGGTTCTCTAAGGGACACTGCTTTGCTAAGAAGTGAGGAATTTTAAGATTAATCTAGGTTATCGATCATTTTTCTTCGCAGTGTTCAGCACACATCTAATTAAGAAGATATCTGAATAAGGTTGAACATCCCTTCTCCAAAATGCTTGGGACCAGAAGGGTTTGCAATTGTGGATTTTTTTCAGTTTTGGAATACTTTCAGAATACATACTGGCTAAGCAGCCCTAATCCAAAAATCTGAATGCTCCAGTGAGCATTTCCTTTGAGCATAATGTTGGCATTCAAAAAGGTTTGGATTTTCAGATTAGGGATACTCAACCTGTATGACGTTTATATTAAAGAATAAACTTAAAACAATAATGCATCCCATTTAAAATGATCCAGGCACCAAGTAGGATGGCTAAGTAAAAGTTGTTTAATCTCAAGAAAATGAGAAAAATGGCATCACAAGAAGCATATCCTCTTGAGATGGGAGAAGAAAGCCAATTCTTAAGCACAACCAACCCCAGCTGCCCTCCTGCACTCAGTCGAGTGCGGCACGCCCTCCTTCAGGTGTTGTGCTCGTGGCTTTCTGGCACAGGTGGCCAACCCTATGCGTAAGTTGATGAAAGAAAGAAAGACCAGCTTTTTATGTCACATGCTTCTTTAGAAAAATGCCACTTTTCATTTTCTTGTTTTAAATCACTAATCTTAGTTTTATAATCCTTAATAGGGTCACTGTCTTTATAAAATTTTTTAAGCTCATCATAGTCCTTTCTGTTAATGATATATTTCAGAGCCACATTTCCGGCATCTGGCAAACGGATCTCTAAGACATGCTATGTTTTAGTAAACCTCCACAAAGCTTCTCATTATGATAGAAATGACAGTAATAATTACCATGCATGTGTCAGGCATTGTGCTAAGTGCTTTACACATACTATCCCATTTAGCCCTCAAAATAATCTAAGAACTGGTTTTGTTATTATCCCAATGTACAGATACTGAGCCTGAGGTTTAGGGAAGTTAAATGCCTTACCCAAAATCAACAGTGAGGAAGTGACAAAGCCAGGATTCAAAGCCAGATGTACGTGCCTCTAAAGCCCCATGTTCTTAACTGCTAGTCAGCCTGACTGTCAAGGATGTTTGTCGTATGTTGCTTTCTTTGACCAGCCACAACTTCTTCTAAACTGTTCTCTTTCTTACATGAATACCGACATTCCATGACTTTCTTATAAACTTTCTAAGTAAACAATTTTATATTTCCAAGTTTCTGTATAATAAAGAATGGCAAGTGTGTACATATTCATATATATGTGTATATATATAATTCATATAGAAGAATTTTCGGTAAGATACTCTCTTCTGCCCTTTCCAATTTGCTTCTTTTATCAAATAGCTGTACACTATGTGGATATCATAGAGTGTGTGGTCAGTCTCCACTGTTGTTTCGTTGTTTTGTTTTTGTCTTTTTAGCAGCTGGCTGGTACAAGGATCGAACCCTGGATGTTGGTGTTATCAGCACCACACTCTAACCAACTGCGCTAACCAGCCAGCCTCCAGTGTAGTTTCTTTGGGACTAAAATTCAATCACAGTCAACAATTTATCTGTTATTTTAGCAGACCGGGGACTTAAAATAAGTAGGATTTTAGTTGTCCAACAAAGCATGTTCTTGTAGGATTTCTATTTTTCAAAATTAACGACAACACCAACACTTTAGTGAATGATAAATGGTTCTGGCCTTTAGAGTCTCGTGTCCATGTATGAGACTTTGACATTCAGGTGATTGTCTCTTCGGTACAATGTGAAATTGCAACTCCAGTGATCTTCCACTGAAACTTGAAAGACAAAGCCCAGAACCACAGGGAGTTTTATTCGCTGCCTTTCGCTGTCTTGGCACTCACGCTTCTGCTTCATGTACTAGAAAAGGCGGCGGGTGGGTGGGAAGGATTCATTTTCCCTTGGAGAGTAATCGCCTCCCCTCTGTACAGGATGATGACAGGCCGATGATCGATGTCATGGATCAGCTAAGTTCTTCCATTCTCGAGAGTTTTATCCATGTAGCGGTTTCAGATTCAGTAAGTACACATTTTATCTTGATTGCTAGTAGTTCTTAAATATAAGCTGTAGCACTATCTGAAAAAGAGAGTCAAGGAAAATGTGGAAGAGCTTGGGCATTTATGTCAGATTCATAAACGAAAACAAAGGTACTTAGGAACCTAAGAGTAGCTTTTCCAATGCTAGCTTAGGAAGCATTGAGATAAATTTCAAACAAAATTTGAGCCTTAGGAATATAGATAATATTTTGCAAACTGCAGTTTCAAAAATAATTGCTTACGATTCTTAAAGAAAATTAATTCACCTTATTCATCATACTTAACACTTAATGTGTACTTAATATTGTACCTAACAGTTAATACTGTACCTAATACATAACTTCTGTTTGTGTGGTGCTTTACAAGGTACTGTCACATTTATCATCTTATTTAACCCTCACAGTTATTAAATTCAAAAACATCAAGAGATGGGTCCAAAATGCTCAACATCGCTAGTCATCAGGGAAATGCAAATTAAAACCACGTTGAGATATCACCTCACCCCAGTTAGACTGGCTATAACCAAAAAGACAGTGAATAACAAATGCTGGCGAGGGTGTGGAGAGAAGGGAACACTCCTGCACCACTGGTGGGACTGTAAATTAGTACAACCACTATGGAAAACAGTATGGAGGTTTCTCAAACAACTACAGATAGATCTTCCATACGATCCAGCAATCCCACTTCTGGGTATACACCCAGAGGAATGGTAATCATCATGTCAAAGGGATACCTGCATTCCCATGTTAATCACAGCTCAGTTTACAATAGCCAAGACATGGAACCAACCTAAATGTCCATCAATGGATGATTGGATAAGGAAACTGTGGTATACATACACAATAGAATGTTACTCTGCCATAAAAAAGAATAAAATTCTCCCATTTCTAACAACATGGATGAGCTTGGAGAAACTTATGTTGAGTAAAATAAGCAAAACACAAAGGGATAAAAACCACATGTACTCACTCATAAGTGGGAGCTAATAGAGAAAGAAGGAAGGAAAGAAAGACCGCAGTGGTGCGTTGGACTTGCAGAGGGAGAGAGCATACCTAGGGATACAAAGTGGAGTGGGGGTAGAGGGGATGGGGAGGGAGGTTGGATAATTGGGTGCGGGACATGGGGTACAATTGCAATTTGTGGTAATGGGCATGTTGCCAGTATGGATCTGGCCTTCACATCTTGGGCATGAGGGGTGACAATCAGCTTTGTATCTCATGAATATTTATAACCAACAACAACAAAAAAAAGATGGGTCCACAGACACACAAAAGGGAAGTGTTACAGACCGGTCTTGACCCTGTTTGCACTCTGGATCTAGGAGAGTTTTATCTGCTACACAATTACATTCTTCCTTTTAAAAAGCATATTGGCATGGGCCGGCCCGGTGGCGCACTGCTATAGTGCACCGCTTGGGAAGCGTGGCGGCGCTCCC